TTATTTTTATATTGGTTGTAACAGTCGGTATTCTCTGTAGTTGGCGTTAGTTTCATTACATTATATAGTCTTTCTTTTTCTATTGCCGATGTTATTGATCCTTTGGTAATCCAGGCATTTCTGCTTTTCTCTTTGTGACTAATTATTACTTTATTGGTACTAATATCTATTAGTTTTTTTATTTTCTCTATGAACAGTCCCGTTGCTTTGTCTATATTATTTATAGAGTATAATTGTTCCCAGGATTCTTGTTTGACATTTGATATTAGTTTTGAATTGTCGACAAAAAATTTGTAATTTTCCTGGTTGTTATTAACGGTAGGGATGTTAGAATGTTTTTCAATTGAAGATATCAGTAAAATAGTGGAGAAGTAATATCGCTTTCTAGGATTATTGGTATACAAGTAATTTTGTAGGATAGGTCTTTCACAAAGCAGTGATCTATACATGTGCCACTGATGGACCTTGTAGGTAGGTTCATATAGGACAGAAATCCGTTACTTGATAGGATATTCAAGTATTCATTTGTAACTTAGTTTGCTTAACTTCCAATTATTCTATCGTTATTATCAGCAGATGATTTCCACGTGTACAGTCTACGTTTAGGAGGATTAAAATAGAAAATTTGCAATTCCTTTGAGATGCAGAGCCAAACCACTATTACACACACATTTTAATATATTGTCATATTTTTTTGTTAGGTTCAGTATGCTATCAACTTGCTCATAGGAGGCATCTATCGTATCTTCGGCCTTATCTTCTGTGGGTGCATATACTTGAAGTACTTTTATTCTTCGCCTCTAGTGAGACTTGACAGACAATCATTACAGTCATTAAAATGTTGCTTAACAATTTTGTTTAAGCTCTTACATATTAACTTCTACGCCAGCGTAATTTTATCTAGTATGAATTGCCTTGTGTCTTGTTTGGGAACTAGAAATACCAAAACCTTCCATTGTGAGATAGATAGAACTAGTTTGCTTCTAAAGTCGTCAGTATTAACCATTTAATTTCTGCTGTTTGTGATATAAATTTTGTCAGTATAAGATACGGTATTGTAGTCGTTTGTCCTGGACCAAGAAGTCACCCGAATGGGTCATCCTTATCATAGTATGTCTAGCAAATGAATTTCATTGTAAATTTCTGTTTCCTATTTTTTCTAAAGGACAAACGTTTTAATGTTTAACATAACGTTAAAAACCATATATTTCATTTTTTAATCCTTGTACCTTCGTACTTTTCGCAAGTTCGATTATTGTTCTTATTATACATACATTAACTGTTTTTTAAATTTAATTTGGTTTTAATAAATGCTCATGTATTATTGTCCTGTAATTATTTCGCGATCAAAATAGGGGATAAAGTGACATACCTCTTTTCGGGCAGCCTTGTCCACAATTATGCTAACTCCTAGTCTGTGACTGGAACTCTTGCTCCAGATTAATGCATTGTTCTATTCCTGCTATTGCGTGTTAGGCATCAGATTGTACATTCCGAATATAGCATTACTAAGTTTGCCCAATTCCAATTCTCAGGGGTATATATACAAACTAAATGCAACACCAACTAGGGGTGCTGTAATTTTGAGCATACTCTTACAAGTTTTAGGTAACTGAGATAATGGGTGATTTTTTTGCTAGATCTTTTTGGCAACACTGTCTTTGACAGATGACGCGTGAATCGTGTCTTGTGTCATTGTCAAACTTGTTCAGTTTGGTCTACAATTTAACCATGAATCGACTTACGAACGAAGAACGCTTGCAAATTATTGAATTTTACTATCAAAATTCATGCTCGGTTAAGAGAGTGCATCGAGCACTGCTTCCAATTTATGGGCAATTTGGTCGGCCTACTGAAGGAGCAATTCGGAAGCTTGCGACTAAATTTCGAACCCAGTTTACATTATTGGACATTAAACCACCAACACACCCATTTGGTGAATGGGCGCTGGCAAAGTTGGAGGAAGATCCACATTTTTATCGAAAAATTGTGTTCAGCGACGAAGCTTATTTCTGGTTGAATGGGTACGTTAACAAGCAAAATTGCCACATCTGGAGTGAATACCAGCCAGAAGCATTGCAATAGCTACCAATGCATCCCGAAAAAATCACTGTTTGGTGTGGATTATGGGCCGGTGGCATCATCGGGCCGTACTTCTTCAAAGACGACAATGGCCGGAACGTAACTGTGAATGGCGAGCGCTACCGTGCGATGATAACAAACTTTTTTTGCCCAAAATGGAAGAGCTGGACTTGACTGACATGTGGTTTCAACAAGACGGTGCCACATGCCACACCGCACACGAAACAATGGCCCTATTGAGAGGCGAGTTCGGTGAACAGTTTATCTCACGTTTGGAGTCCGTCAATTGGCCGCCTAGATCGTGTGATTTAACGCCGTTAGACTATTTCTTGTGAGGCCATGTTAAGGCTAATGTCTACAGGGATAAACCAGCAACGATTGACGCACTGGAAGCCAATATTGAAGCATTTATTCGTGAGATACCGGCCGATATGTTGGAGAGAGTGTGCCAAAATTGGACCTTGCGTATGGGCCATCTAAAGCGGAGCCGCGGCCAACAATTACATGAAATAATCTAACATTAAATTATATCGACCGTTCTGTCGACTCAAATAAAGATTTAATCGTTTTTTCAAATTTTTTGTGTTTTTTGTGATAATCAAGTCCTATACCTCTTAAAAAACCACCCGTTAGAAGGTGATTAAGATTTTAACTCGACATTTCACAAAGTAGCTGAGATATCCTACCTTAATGTTAATTAAAGTCGTAGCGGCATCGATTGGAGTGGATAATTGATGTCTTCTTGTGTATTGTATCCCTGGGCATATAAATTTCGTTTCGAAGAGCTTTCAATGTTTGTGGAAAGTACCGTGTATTTTGCTATCATGTGCCATACATGTTCGATGGGTGAAAAGTCTGGAGATCGAGGATCTTGCAATGTTTCCAAAACGTAAACCTCTTGTAGTAGTCAAACTTCGTGGATATAGCGCTGGGCAATCATGCTAGCTAGAATGAACTGACCTGGTGCCGTAAACAATGGCATCCGATACTATAACACCCACAGTTTGATGAATATGGCATTCGATAGAACATTGGACGTTCTTCACCTCGTCTCCTCCTTACTCCTGCACGGCCATCACGTGCGATCAAACAGAATTTGAACTCATCGCTGAACGCCGCTGAGTTCCATTCCATATTCTATTCAAGTATCTCCTTCTCCATACCAGTCGTTGCCGACGATGCTGTGGGGTCAGAGGTAGTACAACATGGGGACGGTATGAAAACAGTCCAAAAAACCTTATTCTCATTGTTATTACATTTCCGACACCGTCAACCCACTGGTTAGCAACTACCCGTGTTGTGGAAAATCGGTCTCTAAATGCTACCGATCCTGTCGCTCTGTCTTTGACGTCGGATACCTCTAAGTCTTTGATTACGGCCTTCTTGGAACCACGATCGGCAATATCTCATTACAGTAGCTTCGATTCGATTCACCCCATCAGCGACTTGATTTCTCTAAAAGATAATTCGGCTTCACGTAACCCAAATATTCGCCCCTCAGAAAACTCTAGGCATGATAATGCAGTGAAACAACAATGAAACAAATGGAAGCAACACAGAAAGACCACTGAATATTAAGTAATCATGTTCATAGTGTTCGGATCCTGATATGACGAAAGAAGCCTTTACAAAATAACTACTCCTCGAAATGCCTTCAACATTTTATCAGCGTATAATTTCATGATAGCAAATCTGCTTACAAGTTTTTATCAAAATTCAATAAATAACTCTTTGTGTTGCATGTTATATGTAACTTGGTATATTTGTGTCTGTTTACCTGGAAGAGATATCGCTGGATCTAGATGTTCTTGTACTCCGTTGCCAGATCGGTGAATTTACACATCTTTATTTCGTTGACCATTGACAGTTTCGTTTCTCAATTTACTTTATTTTGTTTCAGGTCTAAAGATGGAACAGCTTCCTGTTGCTACGGAACGTAGGAAATCCAATTCACGGTATGTTTACACTTTCCTTAGAGATCTCTAATGAACCTAAGCAATACTTTATTGAAAGCTTCTGCTAAGGGACAGCTAATAAGTACACATTCAGTGCGATATAGTTGTGGTCACCGTTCTTGGCGGGTCAGAGTAAGACTATCAGTATCGCTTTATACGGTTTGGAAGGACGATTCAAAGTCTTGGGGGCAGGTTAGGGCAGACCATTTGAAGTCTTTTAAGCCAAACGTACCTCAGTACAAAGTCTTACGGTTTTCGAGATATTCGGATTTTCAAATTTAAATCATAAATTAGTAAACGAAACAAAATAAACTATTGAATGATGCTTTGTTGGTATTCAAAGTGAGATCCATTGTTTCTAATACATGCTCGAGCACTACGTGTTACTTCGGTAGTTGTTGTATTTAATAACCTGCCATTCTGCATTAAATAAAAAGCTCCTCGACTTTTTCTTATTAAATAGTATCTTGATACGATTTCTTCAGTGTAGACTAACAGTTTATCCCGGCACCAGACTTCGAAATCCAATGGTGTCAAGTCCGCGGATCTAGCGGGCCAGGGAATCGGTCCACCTGTGCCTATCCAGCTTTTTGGAAAAGTATCGTCGAAATATTGTCTTACGTCCAAACGGAAATGAGCTGGACATCCGTCGTGTTGGAAAAAAATTTGCATGTCATCTGAAATTTCTACTCCTATCAGTAATTCGGGAAGATCATTTTCCAAAGAGTGTAGGTAACTGTCGCCGTTTATTCTTTCTGGCAAAAAAAAATAGTACCGATTAATCTTTGTCTCATGACGGCGGCCCATACATTAACGGAAAGTTTGCGCTGGAAAGACACATGCTCTTTCCAGTGTGGATTTTCCTGTTTATCAGCCCCTTGTCAGCGCTTGAAAAATTGGATTCGTGCGTCCATAGAATGCTTTCCAGGAACCGTTCATTCTCAATGTCAGAAAACGACAAAATTAGCTTCTGCGAATAGGATCACCATCTTCAAGTCCTTGCACGCCGATACCATGAAAAAGATATTTTTGTTCACGGTGCATCATGTTACTCCAAACATTCCATGGCGACAAACTAACATCAGCAGCAACTTGCTTAGTACTTGTTGTGGGATCATCTTCAAACGCTTGGAGGACTAGATCTTGGGCTTCAGGAGGATATCGACCTGGTTTAACACCAGGTTCATTACGTGTTACACTTCCAGTCTCCCAGACGTTGGTAAGTATTGTGAAACACTCTGACATTAGCCAATCTTCTCCCGGGAAATCGCTCTTGGTACAACCTCGTGCTTCTAGTCCATTACCATCTGCTCTACCATACATGTAAACGATATTTGCGTGTTCCTCGTTAGTGAAAGCGGCCATTTTACAAACTAATTGATTCAGGACTTTTGGACTGAGATTCATGAATTACTATTGACTTGTTTGGAAAGGAATACAGCAAATGTGTGGAATTTAATTGTATCATGCACGCAAACACGGATCAGCATCATAAAAATAGGAAAACATGTATTTATTATTTGTTTACAGTCAATTTGTTTTTCTTTTCTCTACCTTCGGAGAAAAAAACACACTGTCAGGTATTTAAGAACTATTTTATAGCCTGATGTTCTTTCAGTGACAGGAAAAAGAGGCATATTTTTTCAATAAAAATCGAAAATCTCGGATAACTCGAAAACCGTAAGACTTTATTTTTGGCCTAAAAGATTTTAAATGGTCTGCCCTATCACCTTTCCAAGACTTTGCATCGACCTTCCAAACACCCTGTATATCTCTATCTCCCTCATACATAGACATGCAAACTACGCCTGTGTGCGAAAGATTGTTCGGTAAGCTCAAAGACAAAGGTTTTTTGTTGTGTGTCTCCGTCTCGAAAACTTTGTCGTTACGTATGAGTGCCCTTCAATCATATTTGTCAGAGTGACAACTTACTTGACATCGGCTTGCAATTCTACTTATCCTGCTATCAATCTTCAATATAAGATTGTACAATGTCCGGAAATACGATCAATGGAGAAGGCCAACAGCTGGTGCTAAATTCATTAGAATTTCCAGGAAGGGAATGAGTACCCCCTGCTACCCACTTATGCGTACGGGAGATAGTAGCAGATGCGCTGAAGATTAGTCTGAGTAGTGTTCCGCAGATGGTACGGAGACTCGATCTGTTTACTTATTTCATAAGGCGTTTATGGCGTAACCGCCAAGAACGGTGACTACAACTATACAGGGTGACTTTGAAGTTGAGTCATTAATTTTCAGATAATGATTGTAGAAGGAAGATAAACCAAAATATGTGTGTAAAAATAAAAAAAAAATTAAAAAAAAAATTTTACCTTGTTTTATAAAGTATCCTCTCGACAAGTATTTCAGTGCGGACGTGTATTTGATCGTGAGGTCTTGGAGCACCGGCATGCCGTCCATATGTGAGGTCTTAAGTCAAATGATTCACGAACCCGTTGTACTACATTAACAAAGGCACGAGGGGTTGGTTTCACTCGATTGGGAAACCGATCCGCATAAACATGTGCCATTTTTTATTTCATTTGAGCCACGCAACAGACACCACTATCCACTACCGTCTGACACTGACTGTATACAACTGAATGAAATAATTGTAAAAACATCGTTCCAAATTCTTTCGCTTTTTTGTTTCCGATGCGATGAACCGATAAGGCGAATTATATCCGTTGTCGCCAAACACGAGCACATAATATTATTATTGAGACAGGGCGGTACTCAAACTTCCAAAGGGCTATAACTTTGTTACTTTAATTTTACCAGAAAAATGGTAAAGGAAAAAAACATTTCTTTTGATCAGATCTACTCACTGTTAAAATAAATGACTCAACTTCGAAGTCCTGTATATGGTTTGTGAATTTTTTTCAATATCTGAGAAGACGTTCAGTCAGCAAAATTTGATACCTCGAACGACTTTGAAGAGACGACAAGGCTTAGATGCATGTAAGGGGAACTTTGTAAATTGCAGCCATGCTTTGAAGCAAACAAGTAAAAAAGCTGCAATGGTAGTAATAGTTTCCCAATTTACTACTTGAATTCTAAATTCAAGAAAGTGAACGCCCTGAAGCAATAAAAGTACTGCCCAATGCCTTGTTCAGTTGGCCAATCTAGTTACGTACATATAGAAACAGTTTCACGCTATACCTATAACAGCACTGCTAGAATAAACCAGATGGACTTTTCAATGCTTACTAGAGCTTCCGATTCATTTTCAATTTGGGAGACCTACACAAAACTGAACTGCGATAATTAATCTGGAGTTTGAAATGTTATACGATCAAGGCGTTTCCAAGATGTGTTTCATTATGGAGAAATGCAAATAAATTTAAACATACATGAGTTATCTAGAAGTGAGGCACATCGAATTTAAGGTTCCGCTAGATGCTTGAGATACAAAACCAACATTTGAAACGTTTGCCTCAGAAGAGCACTCACGGATGTTTGTTCTAATTGCAAGTCAACGAATAATGTAGGTATTGGTGACGAAAATGACATCAAAAAATGATATACGAGCCCCTTCCCACTTTAGTTGGCCCAACTATTGAAATCTTAGTTTTTTTCTTATCAAACATAAATAATAAAAATGTAGCAGGGTGTTACAGGTCTAAAATATTAACAATGAATATACTGATAATATATAGTAGAAAACCCCAACCTTATCACTCCCTAAAATAGTTTTGGGTAGTTAAGGTTTTCAAAATGGGTAGAGGAAAGGTTATTAGTGAGAAAATTTGGTTACTGATAATTAAATTTTCAAATTCTGGGAAATCAAACTCAGAAATTGCAACTTTGTTAGACTTATCGCAGTACAGTGTGTGGAATATTGTTAGAAGATATAACGTAACTGGTTCAGTTAATATTAAGCCACGATATGTGAAAAAAAGTAATATCACAAATGCCGACCGAAGAGCATTCGAGAAGAATAATCGTGAAAAACAGGCGTGCCAATTATTAAGTGCTCTGTGGAGTGACGCTGTTGGAAGGAGAATTTCGAGGTCCACAACTCATAGAGAGGCCCACAAACTGGGATTTAGCTCTTGCAAGGTAAGTTTTCTTATAAAAAAAGTAAAAACCCTAAAGTTGCACAACTTGTTTATAGGCCAAAGAAAAGCCACTATTAACTCATAGAACATAGACAATGGACACCTCTACAATGCTGTGCAATACAATTGAGTGATGAGGCCCGATTCGAAGTTTGTGTTGGTGACAGTCGCAGTAGAGTTATTCGCAAAAAAAAATAAGCATTCCATGTTGACTGAAGAGAACAGTGAAATTTCCAGTATCCATTATGGTCTGGGGCAGTATGTCATCAAAAGGGAGTAGGCAAACTTCATTTTATTGATGGAAATGTGGATACAAACATATTTGGCAATTTTAGAAGAATCGCTTTTACCAGTGATGGAAGAATGTTTGACATCCGGCCAGGATTTTGTGTTTCAGCAAGATGGTGCAGCGTGCCATACCTCAAAAAAGGCTATAAAATGGATGGAAGAAAATAATGTACCACTTTTGAAATCGGTTTCTAGCAGTCCAGATCTGTCACCTATTGAAACTTTGTGGCACCAATCCGGCCAGGATTTTGTGTTTCAGCAAGATGGTGCAGCGTGCCATACCTCAAAAAAGCCTATAAAATGGATGGAAGAAAATAATGTACCACTTTTGAAATGGGTGTCTAGCAGTCCAGATCTGTCACCTATTGAAACTTTGTGACACGATATGAAAAAGGTTCTACGACAACATCCTGCCCGTACAATCATCGAGCTGAGAGAAAAGCTTCAAGAAATATGGGATTGTTTTACACCAAATTTTTGCCAAAACTTGGTTAACACTATGCCCCAAAGAATTTCAGCCGTAATAAAAAATAAAGGTGATGTTACCCAATGGTAATCTTTCAATTGTTGCTTTGTGAACTTCGCGCATTTAGTCGTTCATTGTTTATTTGTTCAGATGTTCTATTAGTTATAGGTCTAAGTGATATGTATTTTTTACGACTAGAGTGCATCTAAAATGTTCTTGAGAAAATAAATTGTTTTAGAAGTAAATAGTTTCGTCATGTTTAGTTTATAAAGGCATATTTTGGTACAAATCTTGAAGTGGGCCAACTGAAGTGGGAAGGGGCTAGTACTTCCAAAAAGTAAGGAAGTCACATTTGGTTTAGTGTATTTGCAAGAAAAAGTTGTCTCGATAGTTGGCGGAACATCCACAAAAGACATTATCGGTATGATTAGGAACGGCTGGTTTTATCATATATATTTGAAACCGATCTTGTGTTTGAATGGAGATTTTATTGCTCACATCACTTGGCTTCAGCGATAATACGAAATAATATTGATCGTATCCACCAGAATGCATTTAGAACAGTATCTGAAGATATCAAGTGACAATACCATTTAAACTCTGGTTCTGCAGGATGTCGTCTAATTGAATGTCAATATTTGAGGGAGCAATTTTTGGGTCTATTTTAAGGAGAAAGCTCGTCTTAAATGTCTTAATTTTTGACACACAGAGTGGAAACGTTTTCAAAGCTTCAATTTATCACAAAAATCTGTAATTACCACTTCAGATATATTATTGAAATTTGGCTTACTATATCAAGGGGCAGTTTTTTAAGTACCACATTTTTTAATTTCCAACAGCGGCTTTCGTAGAGAGTATCACCTGCCTACTTTGGACGAACAATAGCTTTACGCCACTGATATTTTGAAAAATAAATATTATTCTTGCAATCACCATTCATTTATAAGCAAAAGTGATTACCTGATTCTTTTAGTATGATGCACTGTTTTCCCTTAAAAGCATAAGAACAATTTTTCTGCATGATCGTAGCAACATCGTTACTACCACAATATCACCATGGAGAGAGCTTTTATTTTTTAGAATAAAACCGTGCACCAAACTAATAACGATTAAGAGATAAGATATGTTCATACATTAATACAAATTTCAATTATTTTTATTTTGAGAGTAAGTTATAGAAAGGTGATGAGGCTCATGTCGTTGCTCTTGGTATGACGAAAGCGTTCGATCAGAGAAGCTCTGCAGGTGGGTGGCTGACTTTCTCTCTGGCCGCAAGTTATCCGCTGTAATTGATGGGATCTCCTCTTCATCCCACGTCAACGCGGGTGTTCCCCAGGGATAGAATCTTGGCTCCGATGCTATTCCTCTTACATATCAATGACCTCATTGCCTGCACGATCAATCCAATAAACAGCTCTACAGGAATTCAG